CGGTCTCCTCATTTCCTGCAGAACCTCCAGAACCGGTCTCCTCATTCCTTCTAAAACCTCCAGAACCGGTCTCCTCATTCCTTCTAAAACCTCCAGAACCGGTCTTCTCTTTTCCTCCAAAACCTCCAGAACCGGTCTCCTCATTCCTTCTAAAACCTCCAGAACCGGTCTCCTCATTTCCTGCAGAACCTCCAGAACCGGTCTCCTCATTCCTTCTAAAACCTCCAGAACCGGTCTCCTCATTTCCTGCAGAACCTCCAGAACCGGTCTCCTCATTCCTTCTAAAACCTCCAGAACCGGTCTCCTCTTTTCTTGCAGAACCTCCAGAACCAGTCTCCTCATTTCCTCCAAAACCTCCAGAACAGGTCTCCTCATTCCTTCCAAAACCTCCAGAACCGGTCTCCTCTTTTCTTGCAGAACCTCCAGAACCGGTCTCCTCTTCCTGTAGAACCTCCAGAACCGGTCTCCTCTTTTCTTGCAGAACCTCCAGAACCGGTCTCCTCTTCCTGCAGAACCTCCAGAACCGGTCTCCTCATTTCTTCTAAAACCTGCAGAACCAGTCTCCTCATTTCCTCCAGAACCAGTCTCCTCATTTCGTCCAGAACCGGTCTCCTCATTTCCTCTAAAACCTCCAGAACCGGTCTCCTCTTCCTGCAGAACCTCCAGAACCGGTCTCCTCATTTCTGGAGGTTTACAAACTGTCCAAAGAAGAAGAGATCCTCACAAACAGAACTGGACTCTAAAAAAGTCGCTGGCTGTCATTCAGAACATCTCGTGTTCCTCTCAGTAACACTGATGTAAAACTAACAGAACATATAAAGTATAAAGTATAAAGTATGAAGTATAAAGTATATAAGCGGTACTGTTACTGTGACTTCATTTAATTAACGAAGGATTTAGTCCGACTGCTTCAGACGTGTTTGTGAACGATGCACAGGCCAGAACARCTCTGTTAATAAGCTCCTCCCACAACAACAAGCTTTAATTAGAAATAACTTCCTGCCTTTAAACTCCAGAGCCATGAGAAACATGAAGTCTCTGATGTAAACACATTGTGTTGATGATAAAAAGCAGCAGTGCTTGTTTCTGGTCGGGTTCGGATGGTGTGTTGAGGAGAAAACACAAGCAGGAAATAAAAACTGAACAAACAGGAAGTAAATATGCAAACATGTCCCCTTTGCACCGTTTTYCTGCACGTTTGTCAAACCGGTGATTGAAGCAGCGTTAAAAGTGATGTTAACAAAACCGTTTGGAAACTCTGCACAACTGTGGTGCTAACTGTGGCAGTTAACTCCCCAATAAATACATTTAATGAAAAAAAGATTAAATGAAAGGATCTGTGTGGCTGCCAGGGAAGCATCAGTTCAGCTTTAGAAGGTAATAAACCCAGTTTAGATTTGCTGCTTTGAGGAATCGTTAATCACTCGTCATTGGCTGACAGATGATCTCGTGACCACAGATAGAAGCCAGAGGCCTCATTCATCCTGTTTGTGTCGTCGGTGATGTTCCTGCAGAGCTCTGACACGAGCAGCTCGTGTTTCCCTGACAGGAAGCAGACAGCTGCAGCCACGGACCGTTTCAGGCAAATGAAATATAAAGTGAGTTGGTTTTAACCAAGAACCAGTGCTGGCTTTGTCCTTTCTGCTCACAGATAAGGTCAGGCAGATGAATGAGCTGCCCGCCCCCTGCAGCCCCCCCTGCAGCCCCCTGAGGAGCGAGGGCAGGACGAAGGCCTGATCTGCCTCAGGAGTGTTTCCCTGCAGGAGTCACTCCGGATCAGGCAGATCTACAGCTTAATGAGCAACATGAGACTTAAACTGCTTTTTATTACTGCCTGCTTTTAACTTCAGAATTATGACCCCCGATGAGTCTGACCCACACTGAGCCAGCCAACAGTTTTACAATAGACCCCATATTTGAGCAGGGGGCTCCACCTGAGAAGGGGTGTTTGGACGTACAAAAATGCTTATAACTCAAAAACGATCTAACACAGGAGCTTCAGATTTATTTTGTTGTTTAGCTCTGATGAAGGGCTAACCATTGGGCCCACCAATGTTGTCATTATATTGATTTCCAAATGAGTTCTAAAAGTTTTGAAATCAATAAAATGACAACAGTGCTCAAATTTATGCACCTGTCTAATTTTGTTAAACCAATTATTGCACATTTTCTGTAAATCATAACTTCATTTCACTTCTCAAATATCACTGTGTTTGTCCTCTATATGATANAAGCTGGAATTAGCATTGGAGAGGCTAGCAACTAGCATGAATAAGCTGGCGTTAGCATTGAAGAGGCTAGTAACTAGCTTAGCTAAGCTGGAATTTGCACTGGAGAGGCCAGCAACTAGCATGGATAAGCTAGCATTAGCACTCAAGAGGCTAGTGACTAGCAAGAATAAGCTGGTGTTAACATTTAAGAGGCTAGCGACTAGCTTAGCTAAGCTGTAATTAGCATTGGAGAAGCTAGCAACTAGCCTGAATAAGATGGCAGTAGCACTGGAAAGGCTAGCGACTAGCTTGGATAAGCTGGCATTAGCATTGGAGAAGCTAGCCACTAGCATGGATAAGGTAATGTTGAACAGTAAATTCTGTCTAAGGAACACCTGTCAGTGCATGTCGCTTATAGATTTGTATGTCAACCATTTTTGTTTTAAAAACAAAGTTTGTGTCTAATAAAATAGGTGAGCAGCCTAGACATGCTAGTCGCTAGCCTCTCCAATGCTAATACCAGCTTATCCATGCCAACTGACAATGGAGGGAGTCGGCAATCCAGTGGTTCAATAGCTGGATTAGGAATAGATATAGCCTCCTGCTACAAGAATGTAGCAACCTCTGGTTGCGTAATAGTCTTAATTTTGGCCCTCATATCCTGCCATATAGTTCAACATGTTCCAACAAACAGGTTCCACCCCTGCTGAAGATGAAAAAAAGTCTTGTTTTTTGTTTGATATTTGCAAACAGTGCACAGACAAGTCAGTAATACTGCTCATAATTTCCTCTGAGTCTCTGTCCGGGGCAGAAAGACGAACTTCTCCTGCAGAGGTAACTGAAGAGTCTCCACTGACTCCGACACAATGAGGCAACACATTTTAAAGAAGTCTGAGCTGGGTTTGCCTCGGTGCTTGACTCTTGAGTGCAGAAATAAAAGAAAAAAAAAGATTTGACCTCATGTAAGAAAACTCCTGAGTTCAGAAATCTCAGAAATGCAGTGGAACACAAAGCTGCCGTAGGTCGGAGGGTTTAGTTCGGCTTTGTTTCAGAACATGACCTCCTCACAGCTCCCGTAGTCGCTCCCCACCATGCTGGACCCTTCGTAGTTGCATCGGTTCTGTCCTGCGGGTCTGGTCTGAGGCTGGGCGGGGCTCGGCGCCGAGGGCTGGTCGGGCTGCTCYGCGTAGGACGGCATGGCCACGCTGAGGCGCATGCTCAGCCTCTTGTAGCCCCCCGAGACGTTGTCCAGGCTGCGCGCGTGCTGCGTGGGGTAGTAGCTGATGGCGGTGTACTCGTTGGGACACTGACCGCTGGGGAGAGGAAGCCCGTCCGGACCCAGGAAGTCGTCCAGGTTCTGGTTGCTGTAGCAGGGCGGCAGGGGTGCTCGGCGGTCGCAGCGGTCCAGGGGGAAGGGGAAACCACCGAACCGGGAGTTCCTGCGAGAATCCGCCGTAGAGGTGGAGTAGGTGTCTTCGACGATGTCAAACTGGGGGAACTCTTGGACGGTCGGGCGCCCGTAGTAGTCCGGGTCAGCTGGGTAGACTGAGAACAAAGACGAGATCTTATTAGTGACATCATCGCTTCAAACCAGTGCAGGATCTAGGATTTTTCTGAGTCAGGGGCCATCAAGAGGCCACAATATTCATAGAGGGGCCAGTCTTTGTTCAACATCCTTTCACACAAATCCACTGTTTTGTTAATGTGTTAACATTTAACCAGTCATACATGTTCAAACACTTGTAACGTTTTTAAAAAGGTACCACTTTACAATAAGGCTCCCCTTATAAGCTAYGTTTCCATTAAAAATGTGCGCAAAACTTTGTTGATATTCTGTTAATGTCGAAAAACAGTTTCGCAWCTGCTGTGTTTCCATTAAGAAATGCTATTAAAGTCACGTGAATACGTTTGTTCTCATGATAAGTCATTACAAACATGGCGGCGATGGATGTAAACACATAGCATGTTGCTACCACGACACTAGCGCTCATCATCAGAGGAGACGTCGGCGTCTTTTATCTACGTTCACACTGCAGGTCTTAATGCTCAGTTCCGATTTTTTGAAAAAATCCGATCTTTTTGTGTGAACG